TCATTGCCATGTGGGAACATCAAAAGTTACTTTGTCCCTCGTCTCAGAATACATGAAAGAGTGCCGACAGTTTTAGCGAAATATTTTGACAGGGTTTGGAACGACTTCGGTGAAGATTAAGGTCGTTTGAGAGGTGCACCCTTCGAACATATTTCCGATAGGATCAAGCCAAGTGGGCGGAGAGCCCTAAATGTTCCCAAATAATCCAAGTTAAAAAATTCATCGTTTGGGATTCGACCCAGTATCATTTACACTATACTACATATAGAACAGTATCACCATGACCATGGCGTGCTGACAAGATGAGTTACTTTTCGCAATCCACAAATGGATATATTGGCCAAAAATCGACATTAGGGTCAAATTTGTAGATTTTCTATTTCTTTTTAACGATAACCTGCTTTTTAAAAATTATTTAATACTTATAAATTGTAAAATCTTCACCTGTAAGTGTTGTGTATCTATTTCCTTAAGGTTTGAATCCGAGAAGTCATTCATTTTGTCAGCTCGCTTCACAATGAGCTGAGTTGTTGATGGCTCAGATAAACGTTGAGAAGCAGATAGATGTAAGCTGACAATTTACATCTAAATTACTACGAAACAGACGAATTGTTCAGTTTTCAGCTGGTCAAACGCAGTCATGTAAGTGGCTGATAGGTGCCACTGGTTAAGTCCTACTTCTTTGCTTATCCGGTGGGTTTTTTCCCCCAATATCATTGCATGACAGTGAATGTGCAAAAAACTGGTCAAATTTCTTACAATCAGAGACCAAGCACTCTAACTCTTTTTTTTCTAAGTGTTCACCTTGAGTAGCATGGAACTCTGTTATTAAAATGAGGCCTGTTCAACTGTATGGTGACAAAACTAGGCCTGTTTTTTAGTGTAGCTCATGTCGCTTATTTTGAAAATCTGATCTGTTGGCAATAAAACTAGGCCTGGATTTTGTATCGTTTCGTTTAAAGCCTGTTTTGATGTCTGTCGTTTCTTACACCTGTTTTGATGTTTGTGTTTTCTGACGCCTTTTTATACCTGTCTTTTAAAGCCTGTTTTAATATCTGTCATTCTAACACCTGTTTTCAGGCTTGTTTTTTTTTTCTTAACACCTGTTTTTTCTTAACACCTGTTTTTTCTAACACCACCTGTTTTGATACCTCTCTGTTTTTGAAACCTGCTTTGATAATCTATTCTTTTAAAGCGCCTATCTGTTAGAAGTCCAAGTATATCTGTCTGTGCAGTGTATGTATCGGCCATAGTTTCAGCAATAACTATTCTTTCATTGTCTGGCTGTGCAGTGTATGCATCTACCTTAGTTTTAGCAATAACTATTCTTCTGATAGCAAAACTAAACCTGGTCATTCGGCACTTAACTCACACGACCTACGTGTGCTGCAACCTGACCATCACTAATCTATTTATAGAGGTACCAGCCATCCATGTCCAAGTGCTGTTTTAGCCTCTTTTTCCCATCTACGTGTGTTGCAGGTGCCGTAAAACTCTGACTAAAACAAAACAAAAAAGTAAATAAAAAACAAGAAAAATAAAATAAACTCTGCTAAGCTTGGTTATGTATGAGTCTGGAGAGTCCCTTGGTGTCCAACGACAGACTCTGACGGTGCAAAATCCGGAGCGCCGTGTTCAGACAGTTTAGTTGGGCGTCAGGGAGGCTCTCTACACATGCCACGGACGGAGGGCCCGAGATCCTGGGGGGAGAGAGAGAGAGAAAGAGAGAGAGATTGTTCGTTGTGTTAGTTCTAGTGTAAGACGATCCTGG